GGGACTCGATCCCGGGACTCCAGGATCATGACCTGAGCCGAAGGCAGTCGCTTAACCAACTGAGCCACCCAGGCGCCCAAGATAAAGAAATTTGTTTCACTGATTCACTTCAATAAACTGAAATAATAAATATCCTTTTATAGATAAATAATGTTAAAAAATGAGGGTGGATTTAAAGAACAAGGAAGCAAACCTTTCTAACACTGTCAGCGGAAACAGTTATGACAATATTGCAAATGCCACCGGGGTGATAAACAGGGTGAAAAGCAGGATGAAGGAATTTCTCATGCTTTAGAAAAGCAGTGGGTTCAGCTGAAGTTCTTGGTTGAAAACATGCCACAGTGATTCTATGGTTAAATTCTGACCTCGTGGAAACAGAGGCCATTGGCAGTCCCGCTACGACACAACCCACGTCCGTGTGTCTTCTCCACCTAGTCTTGCCCAGGATTGATCCTATAAGTTTGTTTAAATTTTCACGGATTTTTCTTTCACTGTATCACCAATTTACTTGCGGAAACACATAGGCGAGTGCTCCCAAGGCTCCCAACTTTCTTCTCTTCTTTTCCTCCCATGATAGAAGTACTCACTGTTTAATCTCCTTTCTATCCTCATCCTCAAACAGAATCCTTTCCTCTTGCCCAAAGATGAAGAGTTCCTTCCCCCACCCCTCAGAAAATATGGTTTACCTAGGTGAGAAAACCAGACTTTTCTAGGGAATCTCGGTAGTGTTTACTTGGCCAGAAAAGCTCAGCTCTTAAATGTGAGCCTCCAGTACTATAGGACTTATCTGCCTCTCCCAGGCAAGTACTTACTGTTACTCACCAGAGGAAAAACTTGTTACTATCAATCAGAGGCTTTTTGGCCAGTGTGGGGGAGCCAAGCTATGCACTGAGACATCCATTCAATAGCAACATCCAAGTAGCCACATAAACAGCAAATGGGGCTCAAGAGCTCTCTATAGTTCTTACTAAACCATCTTATGGCTGGACAGGTTATCAACACTTCACCAGACACGGCTTCCTTCTCTTTTCTCCCCCTGGCAACTCCATTAAAATGATAAAGTATATCACTGACCGATATGTCTAGTACATTGCAATGAAAAATCACCTGGAAGCATACAAATCCATTGTGTAATTAGAGAAGTGTACATTTTAAATATGCCTAACATTTGGTTTAAATTGTGCATTTTATAATTAAATGGAGATATAATCTTTCTGTCCTTTAATCAAACTCCTCCCCACATCCCGCTGCTATAATCTTCCTTTCATTTTTTGGCAAACGGTCATCTCTCCCCCTCTCCTTACTTCCCCACATGCCTCAGCACACACCTAGGGGTCTATTAATCAGAACTACTGCCTAGTGTGTCATGTTTTATTGCTTAAAGGGTGGGTATGCTCTAAAAAAGACTCCTTGAAAATGACTTCATGAGGTTTCATATTTATTCTATTGCAATGACTCCCATATTCAATGTACACAGTTTTTAAGTCAAAAGATAATTCTGAGAGGCTGCTGGGTCTACACATTTTTCCCAGAGTCTGGAAATCCAGCTGTTCTCTCTGCCTCTTACATCATCACTGTAATAAAGAATCTGCTCTTGGATCCCAGCTGGCAACGTTCTTGATGGTGTCAGAGGCAGAGGAGACGGTGGGTCATTTCCATCCAGTCTGTTTTATTGTTGACGTCTCTGCAGCTCTGTCTTGGAAGCCCTCAGAGAGCAGAGCTGTTATGTAACATACTGCCACACATCACTACAAGGAATTTTCTGTGGAGGTCTCACTTCAGTGTGGCTCTTCCCATTCTTTGGAAATCACACCAGATCATCCTAAAATGAGAGATGGGGCCTTCATGACGAAAGCTCACAAAAAAGGTAATAGTAACAATAATAGCTACCAGTTGTTACATGTCTACATTTTGTCAGGGACTGCATGGGGGAATTTTTACATGTAAATACATTCTCACTGAATCCTCACAGCAATATTGTGTTGGAGGTATAAGCATGCCCATTTTACAGATGAGGAAAAGTGAGACTAAGAGAGCTCAATTATCCATTCTGTGGATAGTGAGGTCAGAATTCAAGGTCAGATCTGAGCCAGATCTCTCTTACTTTAAGTCAAGGGTGGGGGGCAGGGGTGTTTTGTTTTTTGTTGTCGTTTTCTTCTTACTATACAACAACTGTTCCAACACAGCATGACACATTTCTAGTTCCCACTGTGACCTCGGCACAAGAAAGACGCTTATGCTATTTCCATGATTATTCAGACTGGCAGCACAGACCTCAGGTGAAGGAACTCTTTCAGAATCAATAAGTAAAATTCCTTCCTAACTCCTTTCTATTTGAAGATGAGAACATCTTTTAACGGTCTTCTCAGACTCTAATGAACAAATGAATCATGCAGGATTTCTGATTCAGCATGTCTGGGATTGAGTCTGTGATTCTGCATTTCTAGAAAGCTCCCAGGTGATACTGATGACACTGGGTTGGGTACCACAGGTCTTATGTCTGACACTCGCCATCCTACTGTTTTTGAAGGAGCAGTTCAAGCTGAATAACTTGGCTAACAGCTCACACGGCACGACTGGCTTCTGATTCTGGGCCAGTTTGTCAGGTCATCAGGCATTAGACAGAATTCAAGGAGTTTCTGGCATAGAGCACATCATGGGGAAAAAAAAAAAATTGTTCCTGGATCCCCCAGGGCTCTACTACCCCCCATTGGAAATTAAAATGGTAATGTCTCTAACATGTAAAGTTCCTATTTTTTACGTTATTGTTATTTTTAACAATAATTATCTGGTAATAATTCAAATAACACCTTTCCTCTGAGAGATTCAATGAGCTTTACTAACCTTAATTGTCTAACAGAAATTCCCAGGTGTAGCTAAAGCTGTTTCAAAGATCACAGTAAATTTAAAATTGTTCCACTTTCCTCCTTTCTTTGCCCCACATGTAGTGATGAATTAGTGGTGAAGGTTTACTAATTGGCAAAGACCCACTGTCTCATAATATGAGGCATCAGAAATTTGGTAAAGGTAGGGTAACTCTAAGACATAATCAGCAGAGAAGTGGTGGTAGGGCACAAAATACTGGTGAGAGAAAAAAGGAGGGAGAGTTAAGGGGAATAGGAGGATGAAAAGAGAAAGTGAAATGATAGAACTAGCTGGATGACCTTGGATGAGTCATTTAACCTCTAGGTGGCTCAGCTTTTCCATCTGTAAGAAAATGTGGATTTTATGATGTTTAATGGAACTTAAACCTCTAATAGTCCCTGAGAAGAAAGATGTGGGAATTAAGTAGCTCAGCAACCTGTTAAACCATTACACCTGTAAAGAAATCTATTTGACTTAACTTATTAACTAATTACCTGAAATGAATTCCCAAGTCTACATCACTAACCCACAGCCCCTCACCCCCCCACCTCTCTGGAAAGTGGTGAGAAAAACCATTTAATGAAGAAGGCACCAAAGGTTTCATGGCCAGACAAACTAATCATCAACCCCATCTTCAGCTTTCCAATGCTATAAGAAATGTTTTACTTTAAAATATTTTAGCTCCTTTAAAAAAACATTTTAGCTCTTTGATTAACCACTAGTTAATACCCATGTCCAGAAGAAATACCTCTGATGGCTTGAAGACCCCTGGGATGGCCCTGCCAATAGAAGGTCCTGCTGTTTGTCACATTAAATCTATGTTAATTTTCTCCATAGAGACCTCTGGATTCCTCTTTGACAATTCACAAACTCTGTTAATAACACCTGCATGTCCCAGGAGACTTAGAGCTATCAGGTACAGTTGATTCTTGTTTTTAAAATAAGAGATCTTTGGGATCAGGTGAGAGATATCTATCTCGATACATACATACATGTCATATACACATATGCAGACACACATACACTGATGGTAATCATTTTTCTGGCTTTAATGAGTAACTGGTGATGGGAACTCCTTCTCTAAGTCACTTGACACTGGAATCTTCCCGATCAGAAAGCCTGCCACAGGTCCTGGTTATAAGGTCATTTTAAACTATGTAATGAGGATTCCAACATGGACATGATTTATGGTGCAGCACGTTATTTGTGTTATTTCAGAGTTATCTATACCTTGCTTCTTGCACTGAGGACGTTTTCTGGACTAGTCATTATAGTTTGTGGCTAAATGGAGAAACAGGTACCAAGAAATTTCAAAATGACATTACCCTGGAGAACACACCATCACTGTCTCCAAAGTGAACATCACTCCCCTTTTCCTGCTTCTATCACTTCCACAGAACCATTAACTAAATGCTGACTGTGTGGCAGGTACTGTGCTTGGCACTTTCCATACATTATTTAACTTTCTTTTTTTTCCTAAGATTTTATTTATTTATTTGAGAGAGAGACAGAGATAGCAATAGAGACAGCGAGAGAGAGCACAAGTGAGGAGGAGAGGGAGAAGCAGGCTCTCAGCTGAGCAAGGAGCCCGATGCGGGACTCGATTCCAGGACCCTGAGACCATGACCTGAGCCGAAGGCAGACGCTTAACTGACTGAGCCACCCAGGTGCCCTGTTTAACTTTATTTCTTATAATCACTCTTTAAGGGTAGGAATTCTATTCTGATTTTATAGATGAGGAAACTGACATTTAGGAAAGTAGAAATATCTACGCTAGATCATAAAGCCAGAGGGTAGCAAAGCAGGGCTTTAAGGCCAGGTTTTAACCACAGTGCTCTATGTCTTAATCTACAGCTAGCTTGTGCTCTCCTGCCTGCATCCCAGTCTTGTTCACTGAGGTCCTTGCCAGAGGTTTGTATTATACTCTCCATCATGGTCCTCTGCTGCCTTCTTGAACCTGTTTTTAACTTTCTCCAAAATCTTCTACATTTGACTTAAGTTTTCCCTCTCTACTTTGATCGATACTTCAGTACAAAACTCATTACCATTTTCTCCATGAGCTTTACCATCATCTTCTCCAGCTACTTTATCCCTCATCTTCATTCCAATGTACTCTTGCCACTTCACATTTGACATCAAGTATTCCAATCCCAGCTTGAGAACTCCCCTTTCTCAATGCCTAAGGAATCTCCTCTTTTCTCCTGGCCCATTAGTCAGCTCCTGCTAGCTTCACTGGATGTCTTTGTCCAGCCTGACCTTACTCTATGATCAATCATTTCAATGCTGTTCTCAATAACCCTCCAGATTTCCTTGCTCCCTGACCTTCTGTATACAAGGTCTTTTCTCATGTTCCTCAACCATGAATTCATATCACCACATCATTCTCTTCTGCTCTCAGTACAAAACATGACACATGCATGTCATCTCGACCCTCACTCCTGCTCAGGGTTGCTTCTAAATACAAGCCTATAGTAGTTTTTCTTATTATGTCCTACTTTACCAAGGCTGTTCTCCATTCTCTTCTTCAGTTTATGACTTTGCCTCCTACATGGGTAAGACGGTCTAGACTATCCAGTGTAGTAAGCTTATTGGCTCTCATCTCCTTGCCCAATATCTCTGAGTTTTCATCATTTTGTTTCCTCAGGATATATCTATACCTCTTCCCACATTCTCTTCCTATCTTGGAGGTTATCCTCTTTACTTCTGATCTTTCTCCTTCCCTTTGGTTTCATCAGTGATATCTTCTTCTCTGTAGTCGATGACATACCCATTCAAAATAGTACCAGATTAATCATCACAATATAGCATTTTGCCCCACCTTCAACTCCTGCCCTTCAAAATATTTCCAGGTGGTATATCTCAAAATGAGTTTTATAGAACACTAGAACTTCAAGATGCACTTCAAAGAAAGTTCCTTGTTTAAAGAAATATAGGAAACACTGCATGCAATATGTTTCTCTTGCAAACTTATAATGCACATGAGGATGTTAAAGGTGCTGAAGACCCCAGCACTGCCCATACTTATTAGATTATAGACCATCCCCCAGCATTTTTTAATGGAACACTTATCAACCTCACAATATACTTAGAGAAAGATGCTTTAATGGATTTCCCTGGTTCCAAATACTTGAGCCTGGGTATGTAAGTTCACTGAATCTATATCAAATAAGCCCTCTCAGATTTCCTTTCTGTCAATACTCCATTTGGTCTAACCCAGTTAACATTCAGGGTGTCAAAAAGACTGAGCACATTTGTATTTCTGAGCCCCTGAACATAGTATTTTGGCTCTGTAGAGTGCCTTTATCACCTTTTCCTCATCTAGGCATTTCCCCTTCTTCAAGACACATACAAAATGATGTATTCCTTATGAAACTTTTCCTTGTGAAAACCATCTCGGCCCATATTGAGCTCTGCCACACACTGAGCACTAAAATAAATGGATAGAGTTTAATGCCTGTTTTCTGTGTCATTGGGGAGAATGTCTATTCTGTAGGTCATGGATCTTGTTTTACACATTATAGAAACTCCAGCACACCAGGCAATCCCTAGGGCGCACTATGGAGTTATAACCATATTAAAGGTTACCACATGGGCTATGGTGAGCGCTGTGAATTGTGTAAGACTGTTCAATCACAGACCTGTACCTCTGAAACAAATAATACATTATATGTTAAAAAAAAAGGAAGATAGTAGGAAGGGAAAAATGAAGGGGGGGGACATCGGAGGGGGAGGCGAACCATGAGAGACTATGGACTCTGAGAAACAAACTGAGGATTCTAGAGGGGAGGGGGTGCGGGGATGGGTTAGCCTGGTGATGGGTATTGAGGAGGGTGGAGCACTGGGTGTTGTACGCAAACAATGAATCATGGAACACTACATCAGAGGCTAATGATGTAATGTATGATGATTAACATAACATAATTTAAAAAAAAAAAGGTTACCACAGGTAGATATGGATGACATTGGGGCATGATAGATCGGAATTTGATTTCTGTAGCGATTGGGACAGTTTACTGTGCTAAAGACCCAGATGGAATATACCATCACCTTGTTGGGGAAGAAATACCACCTACCATCACTGTCATCACCTCTTCAAATGATAACACCCATGCTTGGAGGAGATGAAGACTAGATCTAGATGAGGAAAGGCAGCTCTGTCCCTAGGTGAAAATAGGAATTTGCATTAGTTGACACCCAATGCGGAGAAGGGTAAAATCATCTAAGAATATCAAAGGACCCATGAAAGGGACCACTGGATTGCCTCTCTACCAATGATGAGATCACCACTCATGATCATTAAACCATGGCAACCTGATGAAAAAGAGAAGGTTGTTCTCCTACCCAGGGAAGTCAGGCAGTCTTGTGCGAGGATCCAGTGCTTACAATGTGGCTGGTGTACAGAGCATGTAGCAACCACCTGCAGACTATCACAGGACTGGATGTGCTCCTCCTTCCACTCATATCCAACTCTCCCGCTCTGGGTCAGTGTAGAGACACATTACATAGGAGGAGTCAAGGCAGCCTGGCTACCAGAAGCACAACATGCAACCCCCCGAAAACAATGAATTTCATCTTTCCCATAAACTTCTTTCACTGCTACAGCCCATAAGAGCACACAGCAACTGTCCGTCTCAGGCAAGTGTGCCATAACCAGATATTAAAGGGCTTTGAGTTTTTCAGATTAGGTGTTATCTGAAATTGGGTCTGAACAGGTTCTCTAATAGTGAGTTCATAAGGAGGCTAGGACTAGAAATTTTGTCTCTTGATGCTTAGGGAGTTTTATTATGTGAGAGAAGACAGTATGGCTTTCTTCCCTAAAACCGCAGCAACAAATGATTTTCATCTTTTAGCAAAAGAGAAAGTGCATTTAATTAAAGTACAGTCTGTGAAGTGTCTTGCTACCTTCCTGGATAAAAAGTGTTTTACAAACAAAAGATTTAGTTAAAAACTATTTATAAATGGGAATGTTTACTTCTGTTTACTTTACAATAGGTAGAGACTGTATTATGTAATGTGTGAAAATAGTAGGATAATGGTAAAAATTCTGTAACAGAAAATTCTGTGTTGGTCCTTAAGTTAAAATTCCTAAGAATGTAGTAGAGTATTCATTAGTAGTAGTAATCAATAAGGAAATATTTTTAAAACTGGAATTTTTATTGTGGGAGTTTATTGGGTCAGTGAAGCTAAATGGCTTTGATATTTTCTGCCATGCTTCTGTTTAGAGTTGTCTTTCTGGACAATTTACACATTTGAGAGTGAAAATGAATGGTGGCCTGCCTTTTGGACGTGTGATAGGCCACTGGGGCAAGGTGGCTGTTTTCTGAGAGCCGTGGGCTGTTTCTATGGTAAAATATTTTAGTTTCTTCTTTCTGTAGTAAGAATAGGTGTGTACTTTAATGTTCTGGGTGAAACCTGAGATCCCTGCATCTCTCCCCAGGATGTCCCCTATGGCAGAGGCAGGGGGATACGACTGGCAATGCATTACATTGATTTTGACACCTTAAAGGTTATGCGGTACTTTCATACTTTCATGGACACTCTCTAAAAATGAGTTCCCGCCATCATGAGTCACATAGGTGAGAAGATTGTGGTGGGGGAGAAAGATTTAAGTGGCCCAGATAATGAGCGGTAAAGCTTAATCTAAAACCAAGGTTTTCAGAAGAAAATTCCTCCTCCTCCCGCCTTTTTTTTTTTTTCCTAAAAATACCATGGCTGCCAAAGAGCTTTGTGGCAAATCTGAGGAGCAGAGAACTAGGTGGAGAATCAGAAGATCTGCCTCGTCTTCTGGATCTGATAAGAACCAGCCAGCCATGTGACCATGGTCAAGTCAACTTTTCTGACCCTTATAAAATCAAGAGTAAGGAATCAATGAGTGGCATTAATTACCTTCCAGATGTAAAACCTCTCACCTGTAAAATAGTATTGATTAAAAATGTGTGCTTTGCCTATCTTATAAAGTTGTGAGGCTAAAGTAAGCTGAGCACGTGGAAGTACTTTGCATTCTGTGAAGTACTGAATTATTATAGTCTCAAAGAATGAGTACTGGAGGAATTAGGAATGGGTCCCCTGCGTGTGTGGGAGGTGACAGCCCAGTCCATTTCCATTCAGGTTTTGGGAAAAGCTGTAATAAATCAGTCTAATCCCACTCTGTCCCCTCCTCTCCCAGCCTGCTGCAGAGTATCAGTCGAACAAAGTTACTTGAGTGGGTGAGCCAAACTTCCAAGTTCCAGCCTTTCTGAATAGAAGCTCCAGAGGTTTCTGAGCCACAGTGCAGAGAAATCCCTGTTCCTCCGGGTGTGTCTGAAACACTGGGGAGACCCTGGGGACAGTATGTCCAGGGAGCTGGGGAGGAAGGTCAGACAGCACTGCTCCCAAGGCCCGGTTTTCTCTTGCACGCCTCTCCAGCCCACATGATTTTACCTGGCAGCCCCAGGAGCCAGAAAAGACCCAGAAGAAGCAGGAGCCTCCTCTCCTGATAACCTAAGTGCTGCTCTGATTGAAAGGCAGAGGGTATCAGCAGAATGGCTGTACCGAGTCGGCATTGATTTCTCCAGCCTTTGTCTGCGTCTGGTTTCTGTCTCGTTTGGAGGTGGTTACTGTTACTACAAGCAGCATGAATCATGTCTCTGTTAAAAAACAGAGCTTCAATTGTCTTACATAACCCCTGGTAACTGAACGTCTAATAATAGCAAGCCATTTACAGGTAGGGAGTCTGTCTTCCTCCCAGACACACACACACACACACAAACACACACACACACACACACACTCACACACTCTACTCCCAGTGTCTCACAGTAAAGTGAGACAGACAGGGAGGTGGCAGAGGGAGAAAGGGGACAGGACAATTGATTTTTTTTTTAATTTTAAAATACATGGAGTAATCATGCATCACAGGGCTTGACGACTGGTATGTTTAACTGAGCTAGTTTAATAAACTGAAGGAAACAAGCATTCTTCTTCAAAGAATTTGAAATAACAAGAAGCCCTACACACACCAGACAGACACCTTCTCTACCGCTCTACAACTGTATAAAAACCCCAAACCCCAAAGATGAAGGCAGGGTCTAAGGGGTAGGAGGTGGGTCAGAAGTTACACTGGATTGGCTACTAGCTAGCACCAGCTAGGTTTAATTTTCAAAGGACTTTTTCCTTTTTGCTTGACCAGAGAGAGAGAGAGTCCAAAGGTTCTTGGCTACAGTCATTGTATAAAATTCCAGAGAGTGAAAAGCAACTGAAAACATGGCTGCAGTGTCCCCATTATGCAAGTGACACTGTGTCAGGCACTGTAACCTGAGCCCCTTGCTTTGGGAGAGAACCCTGCATGGGAAGACTTGTATTTTTCCAGAGCATAATCTCTGCCTTGTAAGACAAGATGAGGTCTTTTCATACACGATCCCCACTCAGCCACCCATTAAGGTGATTACCAAAAAGCAAATAATAGGACAGGCTGAAAAAAGGACTCGAAAATTAGAAAGATGAGTTTTCCTTTAAACCTCCCATGTGAGAAAAAAAAAAAAATTAGGCTCCAGACAGCAAGTGAAAAAGTGCATGAGGGAAAAATTATATAAATTTGCCACACGCATGTTTTCAGTTCCTCACTGCTTCATCATGGCCAACCTAAGAACAATCACTGAAGGCATTATTTTTTGCATGTGCGGTCCCAGGAGTCCTGTAACTCTAGATATCGTGTAAATTGGACCAGGGGAGGACTTTATGGAAAATTACAGATGGAGGCTACATCCTGCCACTCAGGCCAGGAGTACAGAAGGAAAACTTTCTTCTCTGTTTTGATTGTTTGATAACATGAAACGGTGGACGAGGCTCGTTCAAACCAAAGAACATCCTTGGAAACACCCACTTTGAAGACCAGGGCCTGGTCTCTTCTGCTGCTCAGTTGTTTAGCGATACAAAGAAGGCATTTGGATATGGTTATATGTCAAAATGGTGTGTGTTCCCTCCAAATAGGATTTACTCTGCCTATTTTCCTTTTAGAATACTTTGTAAGTCCATAAGCAAAAGAGTTTTTAATAGAAGAAAGAAGAGAAAGAAGAAAAAAGAAGAAAAGAGCAAGGAAGAAGAAGGAAAATTACTAATGTTTTCTTATCCCCACTTGCAAACCTGGCTGGATTGCATAATAAAACCTCCACTGCTGTTTTCTGATGGTCTTCGCTCTGTGCCATATGGATGTGGCTTCTGGAGGAAATGAGTTCTAGGTTTTTCACACAAATATACAAATGCAGAACAGGAGGGATCTTCACCACTAAATCACCCCACATAACAACAGGACCACGGTGGTGGGAGGTGGCTGATGGGGATAGAATCTTCTGCGTATTTCATTCACAACTGACCGAAGTCAATTGATCTTAAGAGCTGGTACAACGGCTGACTAAATGTTTTAATAAAAACAGCCATGAGACACCACTGCTTTCTTCGTAGAAGTCTTTCCCCTCTAACTACTGTGAATATATTGCTGAAAGATTCCTGCTTCTGGAAGAGCCGGGGGTTTGCCTCTTCTCCTCCTGGCCTCACAAACTAGCCTCTCCTATGCGTTTGTGAGGTGATTACACATACCTGAAGTTTCAGGGCACTACATCTGCCAGTGGTGTATTTGGCACCTAAGCAAGGACCCGGTGAGCCAGACACATTTAACATGTACAAGTGGATTATTATATTATTTGCATTGCAATAATACGAGTATTTTTGGATTGTTGCTGACAACTAGATCATAATAACCATATGTGGTGTAATAAACCACATGACATTGTATCAGAAGCTTAGAGTTCATCTCTTCAAATGACCTAGAGGTTTTTTTTTTTGGAAAAAGAGAAATGGTGGATGCTTCCCCCCCCACCCATAAAGCATTTATTGAATGCCTATTGTCAGCGATGCACTCTTTATTCACAGAAGGGAGCTGGGCTATGCCAGGCTCTCACCATGTCCTTTCTCTTCTAACACTGAATGAAATATCAGTAAAACCAAGTACAGCTTTTTTTTTGAACCTGATAGGCAATCAGTACATAGTGACTGATCATGTGGCTGTTGGTAGACGCTGGTGATACCGATGGCAGTGGGGATGGTGTCCTTATAAAGGCACAGCAGTTTAAGAACATCTCAGGGACAATTTGGAGGGAGTAAATGAGCAGGTCTGGTCGGCTTTATGTATTCTAACCAATGTCTGGAACTCCAGAAACTTTT